TTAAACACAAATGTATGTGACAGCCCTATATATTTAGAGGGTGAATCTGTTTATAAATTATTGAGCTAGTACTCAGCAGATCTCGAATTCGAAGACGGCTGTTGGGTAACCGGCCAATTTCTTTGTACGGAGGCCGTAACAGCAAAACTTATAGATTACGTAAACATCCCGTATCCTAAAAATACTTATTTTAAGTTTGTAAAGATGTTTTGATATTTGTTACGCAATCGCGCGTAAATAATTGAATGAATTTGAATGAATAATTTTACACACAGATAGATCGTCCTAAATTAACATATATAATACTTTCCAACCGACATCAAAAAGAAGGTGGTTGTGTTTTTTATTTTTGTTATAATTTCGTCACTAATGAACCGATTTGGAAAATTATCTTGATATTTGACTGAATATACTTGCAGATTAATGTCATAGAAATCTTAACAAAATCGGTTATGTAGTTTAGTTTTTAAGTTTTTTAATTTAATAACTAGTTATTATTAACAGGTTTTACTACAGTTCAAGTAACAGGTTTTTTGTGGAACATAATGTTAAATAATTATCTTGATTAATGAAAATCACGAAGTAGAGATATAACATAAATAAAGATAAAATCTCCTATGGGAATAATACTAGTAATAATACCTACAGTATGGTCTAGTTTTCAACTATAAAGATATCAATCAATCAATCATCTTTATTCATATACATCTGTTACAGATTCTTATGATACGTCAATTTATAATTATAATAATTACTATATAAAATAATATTAATTTAAAAAATTACAATAATTACATTTACAATACAATTCACATTAATACAATATTCAAATCCATAATATATAACATAATATATAATATTATTGTATTATATATCAATTTAACATATGAAATGTTTTATATTTTTAATAACGATTTTTTATTCTAGATTTAGTTTATTTTTTACATAATACTAAAAATTACTCTGCATTTGACTTATTCAGAAAATTTTAAATCACTTATGACCTATTTGTGGTATTTGCAAAGGATTTTATGGACACGCCGCATTCTTGAAGATTGAATCCATAATATTCACAACCTACATTCTTGTAAGTTAGGAATGCATTACACATTATATTAGTAGTGAGAAAGCTCGGTAAGTTACCTGGTAAGATTTTCTCGCAACGTAAATGTCTTAAGAGTGAAAATAACAGTTTTAACTTTAAGTTTTCACAGTCAGTAAGTTTTTGCGAGCTGTTTTTCTTAATATTCTTTTGTATTTTCATTTTTATTTCAAAGTGGAAAATATGCTTTTAGTTGTTAACTTCTTGTTTGAGTTGTATTAAATGTATTTTCAGGCGCTTATTCTGGCGTTGTGCCTGGACATTGTTTTAAGACTTCCGATTTTTTTATACACCTATCTATAGTACAAAAATAGATTTATTTTTCGTAATGGATAGAGAAATTCAGAGCGCATATCTTTGTCAAATTTAATATTGAAAATTAGAATGACAGTACATGAATGAATGGAAAAAACTCTTAATTGTTTAAAGAATAATACAGATTATTCCCTTTAACAAATGATACAAATTATATAGATTTATTTTATTTTTTTAAAATTAATACTTAATTACATAAACTTAATTGCATATTATTGTTAATAATTATTGAAGTGTAAACATTTGAGTTCTCGCTTTAAATGAACTGAAAGATATTTGAAACCATTGCATTTACGAATCATTCCAACGGAATTGTCAGAAGATAAAATATTTCAATGTAATATATTTCGAACTAAGAGAATTCTTGCTCTTAGTATTTTTGTGTAATAGTTTTAAAAGTGGATCAGTGGTGCATTAAATCGTTAATCATAGAAGAAGGTAGAAATATATCTACCACTTGAAGTTTATATTTGTTTCGTATATGCTTTTGAAGTTTTTAATTTTTAACACAAAATTCCAAAGCTTTGTTGTTAGGTCGAGAATTTTAAGAATCTTATTTCACTTTTTAATTTAAAATTTAACTATTACCCGCGGCTTTGTGTGCATGATGTTGTTTTTCCGTTAAGTAGAAATTTAAAAATCCTTTCTTAAAAATCGTTTTGGCTGTGCGTAAATTTTTATGACTGTGTGATGGTCAGGGCAAACAATTTTATAAGTGTACAGAAAATTATGTTCAGAATCGTTTAATTGTTTTAAAAAATTGAAAGAAGGTTTTTTTGTGCCTGAATCTAGTTGTCTCATTATTAACAGTAGTCGTTAAGATATTATATTTATTAACAGTATTATCTACATTATTTACAAAGGAATGAATTAAGTAAATCCAAACCATTTAAAAACGTAATTTCTTACAAATTAAATTAATATATATCTTTATTTTCTGGCACAAAAATTTAATTTAATATTTACACATATATATATATATATATTAGGATGGAGAGACATCCGCCATTTTGATTGACACTAACTGTACAAATGACGTGTGAAGATCGTTAAATAACTGTCAAAGAGATTTCCTTATTGTGTTGTTTTTGTTTAGAAATTCATATACATATATTATGAAATTTAATGAATTTGTTACTTTTGGACATATAGAACCGCCATCTAGACAACTAATAGGAATAAATATCTTTTTTCTTAATGTATTATATACATATTAAAAAAAGGAAAATGTAACGTCTTAACAAAATTTTAGGGAAGTAAAAACATTAATTGATTTTATTTTTAGACATCACATCTAAAAATAAAATATAACATTAATGTGACATAAAGTAACTATCATAAAAAGTAATTAAAAACATTTTTGTGACAATAAATTACACAGTGAATTAATTTTCTCCTTTTTCCCTAATAATCTTTATATTTTTCCAATTTTTCGAGAGACTGGGCTTAATATAAAAAATCTCTTTTGTCAGGTATATTTTTATGATAAGTCCTTTCTTATATTTGATTGTAAATACGATATCAGTCTCGTCCGAGCGTGTAATCCGTCAAGCTGTTTAGGCGACACGAAGTGGCAAAAAGCCGGAATTCCAGATATATACCGGAAAAACAATATCTTCCCCTATGCGGTCGTCAGGTAGTAGGAAAACAATTTTAATATTGTACTCTTATTTCAATATGCTTAAGTGGAATTTCGTTAAAATATAGTATAAATAAAAATTAATGTAGTGTAAATTTAAATATTACGCATATAGGTAATTCGTTGTAACTTATGGTAGTTGTTATGGATGCCATAAACATAGTATGATGTTACTATTTATTTTATTTTGTTGCTGTTTATCTATTTAATTTTCATTAATGAGATAATTTCAATAAAAATTGAAGCTTGAATTTCAGGAATGAATGTGGTGGTATGGAAGAATGTGGTGGTATTGGTAGATATCACCTCAACTACTATCAAGTAGTTGAGGTGATATCAATCGGAGACTTGTCTATGCTGAACCATTCATTCTCAGCTTACAAACTTATTAAAGAATCAATTTAAGAATTCTTATAGAGATAATCGTCGAAATCGGCGCACATACTCTTTAAACATACACAAAAAATATTGAAATGAATAATGAATAGAAAACCTTTTTCGAGTTATGTACAATACAAAAATCTTATCGTATTTCTTAAAGTACGAGTAGATACTTGTAGAAACTTGTAGAGATTAGTGTCCAAATTGAAAGGAATTATTTATGGATACCTTTTGTTCTGAAGTAAGGAGCTTCACTATCGCTATCTCTATATTATTGCTGAGTTTTAAAAATTTAAACATATTGTACTATTATTTTTGTGAAGTACTCGAAATTTTAGATATTTTTTAGATGAGTATTTTTTTTAAATATCAATGCTATACAATATGCAATTGCTAATTTTAAGTTTGGTCAGTATTAAAATATAATTATATTTTATCGAAATAGCTTAGTATTTATACATTTAAAAAAGCGAATGTGTAAATATATAACGATGTCTTTCTCGTAGTAAACGATGTACTTTTATTGACGCTTATAAATGTAGGTGTACATCCATATAATACGAATCGTCATAAACTTCGTCATGTAAATATAATAAATTATTTTCATGTACATGTACGCAATAAGGAATGGTGGATACGAATGTAATGTAACATATCGTAATATCAGCCATTTTGGTGGATGCGAGCAATATCGAATCAGAATGTTTTGGTGTCGAGCCAACTGTAATAGCAGCATGATATTTGGACGAGCTTCTATGCCGATTGTAAATCTCTAGTTAAAGCACTTCTTAAACAAATATTTTCTTTTAGCACTGGATGAGTTCCTTAAGATGGAATTAAGATTTAATACAAGACCACGTTGACTTTGTTACCTACTATGGCATCGAAAGATGACGATTGTGTTTGAATATGGTGTAAAAGCCTGATATTGAAATGGACTTATTTCTATTAAATATTTGCAGACTAATTCTATTAGACAACTTAGAGATTCACAATGTAATTTTTAAACGACTTTTACAAACTGCTTCTTAACTAGATTTCTAAGAATTTAGTCAATATTTGTATTTTATTGATAATATCTTATCAAAAGCGAAATACTGAAATACTCTTATTATAATTACAATAAGAATAAAGATTTATTAAAAAATAATGTAAGAATTCATATTGCAGAAATTAATAGAAATTAAATTGATAGCGTCTATTATTTTCAGGATATAAAATAAATTCTCCTAACTGACTTAAAAAGTTAATTGTGAAATTTACTATAAATTGAAACTTATAACTGGATAACGAAAATATTTGTTTATTGTTTAAAAAGAGACTACGTTGATCTACTTAGAGAGTATATATTATTGGAGATATAAAAATGATGCATTAATTATTATTAATATATACACGGATGTAGGTATAAGCATGAATTAAGTGAAGGCACAGGTAGCGCAGATTCTCAATAAATGAAAATGTGACGGTGACGGAAGTGCACCCTGTTGTTTTGACGATTCGCTCAAGACAAATTGTAGACTAGGCGCCCGTTCATATTGGGGTCGCGACCAAAATACATGGCGGCGCGGTGTAGACGGCAGTAGGCGGCAGGCGGCGCACGCGCCGACCGCGCGCACCACCTCCCGTATTCAAATGTACCGGCTCATTTACTACCGCGCTATATTTAACCGCTGCGTCCAGATTAATATCTGCATGTTCCGCCAAAAAAAAGTGAAACCATTCGACAAGAAACCAGTGATGTGAAAATTGATCTATAAGTATCTTTACAGTGACAGTTCTAAATGTGTGGAACCGTAAACACGGCCGATCTATAAATTATTGCAACACGGGAAGTAAATATATTCTGTTTGCTGTTAACATCGGTCCTCGTGAGTATCTCATATCTATTTTTTAACGTTTTGTCAAAATGCCAAATCGCGTCCAGTAATAATACGATTCCAGTGTTATAAAATTTTTAATATTGTCCATGATATAACTTCTTAAATAATGTGAGTAAAATATATTTCAGCACAATGAATCCACCGTCAGCTTTGCATGGCGCGATGAGCCGGGAACGTAAACCATTCACTTACACACCAGGTGGATTAGACCTTTCTGAAATCAAATCAGAGCGCATGGCTAAAAGGTTAATGAGGAATGCTATGAATCAAGGAGTACCCGAAGTACCAATACAGCAAATACAATCGCCGCCAACGCCATCTACTCCGGTTGTTGTTCCGAACTATAATTGCTTACCGGTTCAAGTTTTTCCTACAATCAATTTACCAGCTAATCCGAAGTCTCTATTAAGAACAAGAAGTAATCCTGATCAGCCTAGGAATCCACCAATACAGAAAATACCGCCTCCAGCGCAGTTTAGAAATGATACGATTTCCGATAAAATAGAAAATAGTGTGCCTTTTTATCCGCATACTAATAATTCTATTCAAAATAGACCTGCTTCTATGTATGAATATAATACAGTATCAAACAACAACAATACATCACGAAGGCTAAGTTACGGCACAGACCAATACACGTCGCCTTTGCTGCCCGAGATCAGTTATGAAGCTGAATACTTTCAAGTTTCGCCAAAAACAAATTGTAGTATTAATAATAATACACCACTAACTTCTTGTCCAGAGAGCATAGAAGATACTAAATTGATATCAGACGAAAATTTAGAAAACATTACTACGAATTTCGTTATTCAACCTATATCAGACACGAGTCCATTACCTACACCAATAGTATCAAAGCCTGTTGAAGACGAAGCAGCATCTGTTGATAAACAGGTTTACTTAAAATTACTGTATACTTATTATATCTATATTTATATTTCTGTTTATATAGTCTGCTATATCTACTTAATATATGTACAGTATTAAAGAGATATAAATAAAGTAAATATATATATAACAATAGTGAGTGTATATAACTTTTATATTAAACTTAATAATAAATTAATAATTGTAAAATATTGAGTTTTGTTATTTATATTAATTGTAAGATTTTTTAAATAATTTTGAGTTTATTAATTGATTATCTTTTATTTTTCAGAGAGAAGTCAAAGTTGTTAAGAAACAAGTAAAGAAAGAACAAAAAGTTGAAAGTAGTGAACAGAATGGTGAAGCAAATACAGAGGCTGATTTGTCAGTAAAATTGCCAACGAAGAAGTCAGCAGCCAAGACTGAAACAAAAGTAGAAGTAAATAAAACAGTTTTACCTGATGGTACTGTGGAAGAAGTTAAAGTAACTACAACAAAAACAACAATTGATGGAAAAACAGAAATTAAAACGAAAACAGAAAAAAGGATTATACCAAAAGAAGAAACCGAAGAAGAAATAGAAGAAGAAGAAGAGGAACAAGAAGAAGAAAATGATGTTGAAGTTGAAGAAGTGGAAGAAAAAAATATTGAAGAGCCTAAAAAAGTTGTCAAAACCATTGTAAAAGAATCTCCAGTTGTAGCAAACGGACAAAAAGAAACAATTGTGAAAAAAGAAGAAAGTTCAACAACTACAACAAAAAAAGTTGTGGTTGTACAAAAAGAAGAGTCGGAGGAAGAAGAAGAAGAGGAGGAGGAAGAGATTGAAGAACCTGAACCAGTTGTCGTAAAGAAACCACCGACACCTAAACCAGAAATCGAAGAAGAAGAGGAAGAAGAAGAAGAAGAAGTTATTGAACACACAAAAGAAGAAAGGAAATCTGAATCTAAGGTTGAAGACAAGAAAGTGAAAGCGGAAGAGACTGTTGTTGTTAAAACAGATAACAAGGAAAAAGTTTCGCAAAAACAAGAAGAAGAGGAAGAAGAAGCTGAAGAAGAATATGAAGAAACAAAGAAAAAAGGAGAACAAATTGTAAGAAAAGAAGTTGTAGAAGAAAAAACAGCCGTTAAAGAAAGTAAAGAAGAGCCGCAGGAAGATGAAGAGTCAGAGTATACTGAGGAAGAATATGAATCAGAAAACGAAGAAGTTATTAAAGATAGTAATGTAAAGGAAACAATACCTACTTCTAAAGAAAATGAAAAAATAGAACCTAAAGAAGAAAAGCCCGCGGCAACGGAAGACAAGTCAGAACAACCAAAATCTCAGCCAGAACAATCATCACCGCAACAACCGCAGGCGGCACAGCCAGCATCTAAACCGGATCAACCCATTTCTCAACCAGAACAAAAGGTTCCATTAAGAGAGCCTTCTATTCCTCTTGACAAAGTTGAAGAAGTTGAAATTAAGCCCATTGGCGCATCTAGTGAAGTAATTTCAAAATCACACTCAGAAAATACTGAAATCATTAAAAGTACTAATCAACAACCAACAGGACCTTTAAGTACACAGACAGAGTATAATAGAATTGAAAATATTGTTACAGTGAATCGTACTACAAAGACATTGGATCATAGCTATGAACAGTTGACACAGCAAGGTGTACCTACAGTTAAAACTTATTTTCCACCTAACAGAGAAAGAATTGATGCAATTCCTCAACCTGCGAGACCGTATCAACCCATATATACTCCTGATTCAACGGCAGAAAGACGTCATAGTTTGCTTTTGGATAGGTTAAGTGTAGAACGTCAAGTTCCTTCATCGGATATTTACCAAAATACTTACCAATATTCTAACCAAACCTATGACCAACAAAGACAATGGTCTCAAGAGCCTCAGTCTGAGGTCCTTAACGTTAGTAATGTAAAACCTAGCAAAATAACAAATCAGCAATGGTATCAGCAAAGTAATAGAGAAAACGTTATCTATAATAATGTTACACCGTCTGCTCCATATAGTCAACCGTGGGCGCAATCTCAACCTCAATCTCAACCTCCGCCTCAACCTCAACCTCAATATCAACCTTTATACACAGACTCCATTACACAAGAACGAACTAACAATACGTATCAGCAAAACAATTATCCAACTTATGTACCTAAACCAACTAACTGGGCGAGTAGTAATGTTGATAGCTTACCAAGTATTAATACACAGTCCAACCAGTACTCGTTTCTTTCCAAGGATTCATCAGAAAGTTATCAAACATCAACACAGCAATACTCTTCTTCTTATGTGCCGCCTCCGTGGGAACAGGATTCAAGCTACGTAGCAGATACTTCTAATCAAAATTATTATCAACCTCCCCCATTATCTAGTTCATATACTGTCAATGCAAATCCTGGTTGGAAACCGGCACCACCGAACAAATTTTCTAAAAGTGCTCCCACATCATACATACCACCAGCTCCTAACCAGTCATTTGTGAAACGCGCAAACATTGGTGCAGAACCTCCAAAAATACCTGGAAGAAAGACATATTATAGCGAATATGAAAGACGTTACATAACTGTGCCTGAGTCTACCTATATTCCAAGTGAAACTAAGTTCCAACCACAGCCAGATCCTTCGCCTCAGTATTATTACGATAACAATGAACCAAGGGAACCAGTTGAACACGAATGGCGTAAAGAGCTAAGAGAATTCACGGAAAAGACAAGTCAATTTGAACACACAACCGAGTCTTCTGTAAAACCTCCTTGGGAAGAGGATTCAAAATATGGAAAGACTCCGTCTACATATACGCCTACTCCGACTTGGAGCCAAACATTGCGACCTCGTTCATGGCGAGAAAGAAGTTTTGAATCCGAATATGTTGGTTCTCAAGAGTATCCAAGAACCAATACTTTAGGAAGAGGTCGACCTTTAAGCTCTTATGGAACAGGAGTGGATGCTCCTATCCCTGAAAGACCTAGAGGTGTGTCGGTAGACAGATATAATCCAAATAACTACAACTCACCGATACCTTCGGAACACCCGCCTGTACAAACGCATACATTGGTGCCAACACCTCCTGCTAAGGGTTACCACAATCCAAACGTGCCTGCCTACCACACTAATACTCGTGCTTCAGCTGAACCTAGGTAAGTAAATTATTGTTTTATTCATTTAAAGTTAGAAAACGTATCTCATTGGTCCTTACTATATCAGAGAAAAACTTTGTACAAAAGTCGTTTGCTTGGGTACCTATTTCTTAATCGTGTTTCTGCTGGGAAGCAGTTATGTTTGCATGGCTGTGTTTCAGTTTAAAGGATAGGATATGAGAGTGAAATCACAGGGCGTATAGTTATAATATCTTAATCATCAGAAATGGCTACGCATAAAGGATGTCATGGACGACATAGTATACTCTTTGATGTTTATACTGTCTATAGGTGACGGTTACTACTTTCCATCAGGTAGCCAGTTAGCTTTATTGCTATTCTAAGTTATATAAAAAACTACCATATGTATATGTAACATAAACTGTTCTAAGATCCTATCAAAAGTAAATTCGCTCAGGAATTCTTGTTCTAGTTACTACATATGTATAATCCTACATATGTACTGTATTTCTACATTATTTCTTTCTGTGTACTATATTTCATTTAAATACATTTAGGCGTTTGAGTATGATTAAGTAAATTGAACATGTTGTGTGCTATATATTTGTAGGTCGAACTTTAAATTTGATGAATTTTCATTTTGATGGACCACCTAGAAGTGGTATACTTTTTTGGATTTTTTACCTAAAATCCACACTTAGTATGCGTAAATTTATAAGTAAAAGGTAGTAATTTTGTAATAAAAATATCTTACATTTTATTTAATATTTGTTTGTATTTTTGTCATTCGGACAAAATAAAGAATATTATCAACTAATTTTCAATCTCAAGATAATCTGAATTCTGATATTTTTTGTAGTCGTATAAATTCAAAGAAAATTTCAGAGAATCCATTCCAGTGTTATTTAATTTGAAAAGCAAAAAGTTTATGAACATTCATGCTTTAATTTCAGAGAGCATTCGGCAATTCCACAGCCACGTTTGTGGGGGGAGGCACGCGGTACTCCGATTCAGTCGAGGTCCTTCAAATACCTCCAGTGGATAACTGGCACGGAAGATTAAATGAGTAGACGTATAATTAATTTTAAGCCTTATTGTTACTTATTAAAGATGGAAATTTTATGTGAGTGGCGACGATAGCTTATTTTTACGAGAATACCTTCGTAACGATCCCAAAATTCTTGACCGAATTCGAAGAGATTATTCGAAGACAAAAATAACGCTATTATTAAAGCGGCTGCGGTATTTGTAATGGTTGTAAAAAATTTGAATTCGACGGAAACGATAGTTCGATTGTATAGTATGTAAATTTAGTTTAAGTTAGTTATTTGTTAGTTTTTAACTTTTTCTTACATTTGTCTGCAATTAATTTTCTTTATCTTCATAATGTACTGTTTTTTACGGACCTTATTATACGTACAATGCGAATTTTAGAAATTTGTGCAATGTTTTTTTTTTTCACTTACTAATCGAATTTAATTTATGATTATCGTTAGAGACTATTAAAATTAACGCAGTCTCTGTTGTGGTCAATAATGTTGCACATGTGATATTACTATGCAATTGTTCGCTAAACTAGTCATTTGAGACACATATTGTCGCTAGTCTTAATTGTATAGCATCTAGAACTATAAATACATGCATTTCTGCTTCAATTTTATACACTAATTTGATACTTATTTTGCTATAAGACTATCTTAATACATCATCGTTATTTAATCGGTTTTAATGTATTTATCAGTAATAAAAAACATTGCGAGTTTTTGCTAACAAAAATCCGTATTATGTTTTGGTTTACTATTATAATTTATTTAAATAACCTTATAATTTCAATTTTCTATTAGTTACCAAATTTATTTATTCATTACCAAATAACAAACTACAAATGTGTGAAACAAGTTCCTCTCTTAGGATAGGTATTTATTCATTTCTTTAATCATCATGACTTTTCTACCAAATTCATTATATAGACGGACCAATTTGTGATGTGATCACTGATTCGATTTGTCACTATTTCACAAAGATTCGATTATGTCATCTGAACCCCTTGTCATGATGGTCGGTGGAAACTTTTGTGTTTAACAATTTTAGTATGATAATGAGATTCTTTATTGTTCCAACTAAGATTGACTACAAATATAGTACTAATAGTAAACAAAATAAACATCATGATGATCATGTTACTTAATTAGTTTAATCTATTGACTGTATTTAAACATTTACAATATAAAGCACCTTTGGTATAATTTGTTAAAATAACCATAATTTTTTAAGAGGCATAACTTATATCACATTTAAAATAATTAATTAAACAATTTTGAGAATAATCTTTTACCACACTGCATCTACACTGACAAAAAACACTATTTGTATATGAAATGACACACACAAAATATGTCATGTGCACGTTCTAACATATTAAAAGCTTTACATCACTTTTGAGTAAACTCTTCAAAAAGCATTTTATAATTTTATTGCGAAGGTTATATAAATTACTTTTCAGTTATAAAATTATGTTCTTGCTGGTTTGACAAAGAAAAATATTTACTAAAGGCGCTTTCTATTGTATCATCTGAAATTCTGAGACCAGCATGTTACTGGGTGCAATGTTTTTAGATCAGTTTTAATGGTTCTTTTATATGCATCAATAGTCTTTTATATACATCAAATACACTTTATGATTTCATTGTAATTTATTATATCATTATTATTATTTATTAAATTATTAATATTAAATGAAATATTGATGATATTTGCTAGTTTACTAGGATATTAACAATGTGTATTATAGTGGATAATGTAAGAACATGGGTTTTATTTATTTACATTGGTATATTTAGTTTGATTGTCTCGACTATTATTTGTCTTAATTTAAAAACTTATGCATGGTCCATTAAAACTATACGTTGTTTTTTTTATAAACTTTGTCACTTGTGAAATTATTGTTGAGTTTTATTTAATAAAAAGCTAAAACAATTAAATATGTTCGAATTATTATTATTTGTTTTCTAATATAAATAGGCATAACCTGTTACTTTGTTCAAATTTAATTCGAATTAACTCATACAAGTGTGATTGAGTAACAAACACTTAAATAGATTTACAAAAATTTATAATGTTAATAGAAAATATGGGAATGTCTATTCTGACATTATTCATTACGTTTTTTTTTTGATAGGTGAAAATGGAATGGCAGCCCTGCCTGCGCTGACTGTATACGCTGGTGGCAGTGAAGGGTGATCGATAAGAATGAAAAAAGGCCAATTTTGATAAATTTATCATGATGGGCTACATCAAGAGGAATTAATCAGGAATTAACGATGATAATTCCCAGGGAGAACCGCGTGGAGGTCGACCTAGTTAGGTATATTGCTAGCAATGGGATTCTTAGTCTCCATTACTAACAATTCCTTTCATTACGTTACGTATATCGAATTGAATATAAAAGTTATGGAAGTTTAATAAGGTATCCTTATTAAATTTAATCCTCTAATCACCATATAGGAAATTGTCTTAACCCATCAACGTCCCATTGCTGGGAGCGAAATGGTATAGTTTTCCTTGTCTAATGGTTTATGGTGCGTTATTCCTTAAGCGCCTTTATGTTTATAGGCGACGAATACTATTTTCCATCAGGTGGGTCGTCAGCTTGTTTGCAATTCAAGGATGCATAAAATAAATCGGATATCACAAACAAGCCAGTTACTATTTATTAAAAGATTTTAATAATATCTATATATACAAATGAAGTATCATTTGTGTATATAGATATAATCGACATCTTAGAATATTAATTTGACATTGACACCCATAGAACCTCTTGCTCGTTGCTATTTCTAAGGAGTTTTTAGTTATATTTTTATATTTTGACTATATATATATATATATATATATATATATATATATATATATATATATATATATATATATATATATATATATATATTCTCTTTGTTCTTTAAATAGGAGCAGTATAGAATTAGTGGTGACAGTGTTACCTACCTTTATTAAAATTTATTCAAAAAGACGTCTGTTTGGCTTAGATGAACAAGTGGGTATCTATAATTTATTTATGTCAGCTTTACTCAAGTTTTACGCGAGTAGTACTGTGAGTGTTACTCGCAACAAAGTTGGTGAACCGCACTCATGAATAAGGACTCCTATTGAGTTTGAAACTAGTCGGACATCCCGAATTTTAAACGTAAGTGAAGGATTGCAATACAGAATGATTCATGACAGTTATTGATTTATATGCTTTTGTACATTCACTTATAGTATAGATACTAGGTTATACCAAAATGTACACAGGCGGACTTATCCCTTCAAGGGATTTCTTCCAGTCAACCTTGAGAACCCAAAAGGAGTAAGTATTTATAAGGTTAGTATAAAAAGCATATAGGTATATACAAATATATACACATATAAACATAAACAAATATATATAAACATAGAATAACTATTATGTATATATATATATATATATATATATATATATATATATATATATATATATATATATATATATATATATATATAACTCAATTGTCAATTGTATTGTAAAATCTTTTTGATTGAGCTTTGAAGGCATGAACTGTCTGCGTCATTCTGGTATCAGTTATTATTCGGCAACCGAGTCTCTATTGTGGAATCGGCGCCAAATTTTGCTACATGGTAAATATTCGAATTTAGGCGTGCTACATGCAGACAGACTATTTGCGGTTGAACGCAGTATACCGATTTGTCTACAGCGTAGGTATTCATATGTCTATAGACATAGAAAAATCTTGTTAAGTCTACAAAGTCTATTTGTAAGTTAGTTATGAGAAGAAAAATGGAATATACAATGAAAAAGTTACCTACAATGGTATGAAGTTGCGAAACCAAGTCAAGCAATTGAGTAATAAGTACGGTCGTATATTTCCTCGAAGCAACTCAAAGCATTTTTAAGCCCCACAAGGTGCAACAAAGATGAAGTTCTACAACAAAGACAAGCCTTACAACACAGATTTATATTTTAGTTGTAAAATATGAATGAATAAATACCACTAATTATTTACTGGTATTACATTCATTAATTCTTATTTAAGTTTCCAAAATACATACTTCACTCTATTACTGTTTATAAAACTTCCTACAAGAATGTCTTCTTTTCACTGACTTTTTTTTTCTTACATATAAAAATTAAGATAGTATCAATCAAATTTTGGCAATAAATTTGTAAAAAATGGGTAAAATATAAAATTTAAAATCAGAGAAAAATATAAAAAAGTTTAAATAATTTTATAAAAATAAAGATATATAAAAATGAAAAAAACATTATTTTTTTATTTTTTATAAAATTTATGTTTAATATTTACGTAATTTAAACTAATAATATAAAGGGGAAATATTCATTTTTATATTTTCAATGATAAACTTATGATATTTAAACGATTTAAAAAATTCTTTTACCTATAGAAAGCTATGTTATCAGTTAGTAATATGGACTGTATTTTATTTAAAAAAAATTAGAGATCTTCATTCTATCTGTCAGTGTGAAACTAGGACAAGTTGCTAGTTGAAAAATAAATTAACACTTTTTCGCACTTAATTCCATGTAATTTCACGCTGCAAATCCTTTTAGTTGAATCGCATGCAAGTCTGCGGTCACGTACAAGCACAAATAAGGATATACGCCTTCCTTCCCTCCCTTTCACCCCTGCCGGGCCCCGGAAACCGTAAAAATCTCTCTTTAGAATAGCGGAACAACGAAACCCTCTCTTCCAACACCAAACTACTCAACGCTTAGACCACGTATCTCCTTGGAGCGTTGGCACATTATGCTCTAGCTTAAAATGCACAGATTTAACCCCACACGAGGCTGCATAAGGTGATACGAGGTTTTACTTTCATTCCCTTTTTATTTTACACCTTTAATCTGAAAAATGCATTAGTTCGATTTTAAAAGATTAGTGTAGGGACTTTTTTAGCGCTGGGTTTATATTTTAGTGTAGGTTTCTATCAATAAATACATTGAATGTCAAGATTTAAGGCTCAGTACTCGTGATACAGTAAGCTCAAAATTATAATTTAGTTAATTTTGTAATCTGTCTTAAAGTACATTCATGTGAGCGTCATCGGTTTGATTGTTGACCAGGAGCCTGTTATTTTAAAAATACTAGACACAGTAAACAAACACTATGATTACATAAGACATTCAAATGATAAAGGAATTAACCATTTTAAACCTTAAATACAAATATGATCAGTTGAAAGTCGAGTGCCACATACAATACGACAAGTAGACTAACTATAAAATAAATATTCAGTCAAAAAAACAATCTGCAAAACCATGAATTGGTTTAAGTTTGTAATTTTATTGATGATTATATTAAAATGTTGAATATTAGAAAAATGATCACCTAAAATTACTTAATTCATTTATTACTTAATTTAATTTAATACTATTATTTCTTTTTTTATTGACCTTTTGTTTTTAGATTTTTTTTTAAATTAGGTATTTGCTTACTACACACTCAGCGTTATCAATTATTCATTTACAATTCTTTTATTTACAATCGAGATATTGTAATAGGCACTAAGGTAACAAAGTACGAAACAGCATAATACAAAAGTGCAAGAGAACAAACAATTCGAAAGAAATCTTATATCAAACCACTTGGCCGGCGTGTCTTATTCTATAAGATATTGTTTTTTTTTTCATAAGAGACCTGTGTACAGTAATAAGACTTTAATGTTATTATAATACGAGTAATTATATAACTATATATTTTTTTAAATATACCACTAGCCTTTTAAATCACTGTCAGAAATTGGACTCTAACAGAATGATCTTTCAAGAATATTTTATATTTAATCACTCGAAGAAAACGTTACAGAACTGTCGTTCGTATGCCAAGAAAATGAAATGTAAGTGTAACGAATTGTACACAGAACAAAAAAAAATCAGTAATAGTTACAAAACGCAAGGAACATCAAACGACACCAAAGTAAAATAACAATAACCAGTAGTTCAGTTTTTCCAATTGTTTTCCCAAACAACTGTTTTTATGAAATTTAGAAACAGAGTAGAATAATAGCTAGAAGAAGACTTTTTACAAAATTGTTTGTACAGTTACTTTTATCTCACTTGTGACACTGTTGCCTAGTGTGTGTGCTGGCATAGACATGTTTGGTTTTGAAGATTGAGATATGACAGTGAAATTACTGGGTTTGGAAGCATAATATCATGGTACTCTGGAATGGCAAGACATGAGGTAAAAATATAATGCTCAGTAGTTCAATTTTCTTTTATGAACTGCTAGCCCCTAGAATCAGCCTTTGTTCGAAGGCATATCTATATCAGATCTATATCTGAAAACGGAGAAGGGAGGAGGTAAATTCTAGTCCTTATTCTGATAAAGTGTACAATAATCATAATATATTCTGTGATATCCATGGAGTTGTTCATATCTATTTAGTAATGGGGTTTAGCAACCTTATTTCGTACTCCACGCGGTTCTCCCTAGAAACCATCTTAATTAATTTTTGTGGAATGCATATCACCTGCTTTCATCCTTATCTATTATCCTTTACTGGTGCCTTTCTAGCGTATACTGATAGCGCAAGCAGGGAATTCCTAGATTATATATAAAAAAATCTGTCAGGTGGGTTATCAGTTTGTTTTCCACTTTAGGTCATATAAAAATAAACGAAGGAAATAGGTAGTTAATATATCAATAAGGTGTATCAAAAAGGTTAAATTTCCTTACTTCGTTGGTTACTTATTTCATGTTGTCTTTTAGCATCTACTAATGTTGAAGTTACAAAACTGAGTATTTTGTTTTCCAGCTATACCTAGGGCAGTATCCAAATTTGTGTCTAGCAAGTTGAACGAATGATATTAAAAATAATTGTTTTATTTCAATACCAATCATTTACATATATATAGGAAACTATATTGGTTTCATTATTTTAATCAGGCTCTATTTGCTTAAAATCT